AGGCAAAGTCATTAATATTTACTTAATTAATGCTACCATTGTACAAACTGTGTGCACTGCAGTAGTAAAACTTCTCCTCTGTCCTTATCTGGCCTTCTGCTAAACCTAAAACCTGCAAAACTCCTGTGCCAACATCCTCATGAAGCTCCCAAAAAAGAGTTTGTCATTTCTATCAGATGACTGAGGGACGGAATACAGTCTGGAAGTGAAAACGACGGACTTCAGTTTGTCTGGTCGTTAGAGAGAGTCACTCACACACTCCCAGGTCGTCAGGTGCATAGTTGAAGCGGAGATCACGGACTCCTATAATGTCGGTGCGCACCGCCTTAGTTGGATCTGAAAACACACACAATGCAGACAAAGTGTACACACGGTAAACAAAAGTCATGCGAGATAATCTTACAGCCAGAAGACTACACGTTTAATGCTGAGTTATAAAACAGAATTTCCAGCCCTATTTTCCCCGCCATCATTAAAAATGCATTAATGATAGCCTTTGTTCTTTTTCCTCCTCATCAGCACAATATCTGTGTTAAGCTTGACTTCAGATAAGATGTTCATATTCAGGGTGAGATGATCGTTAAAATCAAATTTCACATTTAGAACAAACAGACCCTTTTCTGATGCAGACTGAATATTAAATAAGCTTTAAATTAGGATGAATGTTTTTTAATACTTACCAACAAAGACAATTCTGGGAACATAGTAGCCATCAAGTGCCAGATTGGGGTCCCCAACTTCTTCCTGTAAAATAAAAGTTTTAAAAATATGCATATCATTTTACATATAAATGGAAATTGCAGCATCAAATTGTATATTTATTTATATTATATTAAAAATAGAGTAACATCCACTGTACATCTACTGCATCCTTTTCGATTTGATTTCATATTTGATCCTTGCTTGCTAAAGTTGGAAATGTTTTCTCATTACCACCACGTTGAGCATGATGAAACTCTCTCTGGCCATTTTCTGGATGGTCTTGTCCAGAGCAAATCCCTGCTTCAGTGCTGTGAAGAATAATTCTGTTTAGTTTCATATGTTTGCTGGCTTTAAAGTAGAGTGACAGTACTGGAAAAAAAAAATGGATGTCATGAATGTGCACATGTTAAAGCAAGTCTTTTTTAAAATCTTTTCTTTAATCACAGCACGTGTTCATAAACTTCCCTGAACAGTTTCACTTTACGACGGACACAAAGGATGCCAGACAAGTTAGGAACAAGTTTTGCAGGTCGGCTCCACACAATGCACGTGTAGAGATTTCACAGCTCCTCCTCAAATACTGTGATTCAAACAAATGACTTTTTTTTTTTCCACAAATAAAGTGCTCCTCTGTTCAAACATTCAAAGGCAGGCTCCAGAATACTTTGCTTTTTTTTTTTCTCAAACAAAGTGAAAGTCATAAGTAAAAGCCAGACTTTGCTCTGTAGGTGGTCTTTATTGTTTATGTGTTAAGAAACGCCGGTGGAGCTGACTTCCAGGAAACCAGCTGTGTGATTTATGAATATAATTCCCACCTACTTCATTGCCTGCTATGCGGGTGTTAAGGAATGCACCCATTGTGTTCTCCATGAAGCCAAGCCCAAGTCTGGCAGGGAAGGACAGTGCAGGATGTGCAAGCTTTTACAGTCAACGTATATATACATATATATATTTAATAAACCAAAGTTGGTGCAGTACCTTGGGAGTGCGGGCAGTCTTGCTTATGATGAATGACCATCAGAGGTTTCTGACTGCGACAGAAACACCACAGATAAACAACTCAACACATTCCTCAGCGCAATTAGCACATTAATGGGTGTGAATGCAGTCTTGTGTAATGACATTCCTGAGAAATCCAAGTTCCTGTGCTGGATTTTGAATGATTGATCATGAATAAAGTGACAGATTTTTTTTTTTTTGGCTGTATTCATGCAGTCATAGAACAAATAACCACTTTCATCACATAGTAGAGTCTTACCTCTTCACCATTTTTGACAGGCCTTCTTCATAAGATTTCACCCATTTAATATTTTGTCCCCATCCTGTAGGAACAATAACCAGACAGAAGGTCAATAACACTCTGGCACGCTGCTCTGTGCTTCCATTTTGCTCTTTCACAAGCAAAAACTCAGATGTTACTCTTGACATAAAATCAAATTGACAGCTATGAATCATTCTGCAAATGATTGTTTTGGAGATTAACCACAGTCGCAGGTCTTTGACAGAAACAGTCACCCACCTCTTGACAAGGATGAAGCAGATTTCACCGTCTTTTTTTTCTCTTCTCCGGCACTTGCACAGATGCCAACGAGCAAAGCAAACAAGAGGCAGCGAAGCATCCTTGTCCTTTGAGAGATCTGTATTGACAGATGGCCAAAAAAAAGAAAATGAAGAGGACACTCAGTGCTCATTGAAAAGACAAAACCATCTCCTAACCTGTTGCAATCACATCGCAAACAGCACACTTTACAGATGTCCTTATTCGAGCTGACTGGCTGAACAAGCTCGACTGGCTCGCTAGCAACGCCAAAGAAACAGCAACGAAAGAATTCTTCAACCATGTCTTCAGGTCAAACTTACACTCTATTATCAACAGCTCCATCAGCCACCATGTTCAAATCTTCTTTATCTGTGAGCTACAAGTCTACACAGAACTACTACACGTGCTTCTGCTGTTTCTCATTCTTTTTCAGCACAACATTTGTCCACTATATCCCTCCACCATTACTATTAATTTCTAAAGAATCTATGTCAAAACAAAATTAAGCTAAGACAACCGTAGCAAAGCCAGTCCACAGTTCACCCAAGGTTGATGTCTTACCCAGTCACCATGAAGCACCGAGCATCTGCATCTGCGCTCACCTTCCTGAGTGTGCTCTCTTTTGTCAGGCAATTCTTTTCAACTGAACTCACCAAACTGGTAAATCACAGGAGTACACTATAAATAAAGGCACACACACACACACACACACACACACACACACACACACA